AGTGGAAATATCTTTTTATTCAGATTTCAATTTGACTTATGCTTCTAAAGGAACAAATTTCCAGTAAACAGATTTTTAGCTAATCAGGGTGACTAGATAGTTTTAACACAGATTAATTAAGATGTATTAGGAGTTAACCGCATGTTCTCATTTCTCAAATGTAAACATCATCATCTTCTTCCCCCACATGTTGCCAGAAAAACAGCATTTCTCAAACTGTGAGGTTACTCTCCCTAAGCAGTTGCCAGCCTTTCTCCAGGAAAAGGAGAGAATAAATAAATATTCTCCTCTTCTGCATACTCTTGCTGGATCACTTGGTTTAGAACCAAAAGTAATAAGTCCTTGAATTTAGTATCAGATAGTAATAACAAAAGGAAAGCTGTTTCCCAGACTAAGCAGAAATGATGAAGACTGTCCATACATTGAACATATTCTCTTTTTTGCTTTGCGACTATGTTTTTAGTGGAGACTCTCCCTCCTTAACTTCTGCCTCCACTTAAACTATGAGAGAGTTTCCACTAATGCAAGCCCAAGTATTTCTCTCCCCTGTACCTTACAAGAGGAACAACGTGTAAAGTTTGAGAAATCCTGCAACAGAATCACAGGTATAAGCCAGGTACTCAGCATACTAAGAACTATTTCAAGAACTATGCATTGAATTATAGACATTCTAATAAGATTAGTAGTGCAGAGAGCTACACAATTAGAAACACTCTTGATTTTCATGTATTGTAATTAACAGACAGGCTTACGTGTAGTCCTTAGTTGAGAAGAGTGACTGGAACCGTGTCATTTTATTTCTTGGGACAGTATCTGATCTGTGCAACCTTGAATAATAATTGTGATTCTCTTAAATAAGAGTCCTTATAAATAAATGGAAGGTAATTTAGATAATCATCATAATTGCTGCCCCACAGTTAGTTACTGTACCAACTAGTGCCTAGTCATTATCATGTCAACTGGTCCTTACAATTAGATTCTCAAATGTTTGTAACGGGCACTGTCCAACCCGAATCCCATTACTAAGTATCATGACAGCTATTACATGCAATAGGTTCACAAGAAGGTAGATGACAACACATTCAGCAACATCTGTCAACTCTTTTCCACCATCCCCATATGACAATCAGGAACAGCACCAACTCCTTCCCTCAAATCCAGGATAGATCTTCCAAGTATATTTTTATTTCTTAACAAATAGTCTGGTAGCACTTTAAAGACTAACAAAACATGTAGATGGTATCATGAGCTTTGAGACTGCCATCTATGTGTTTTGTTAGTCTTTAAAGTGCTACCAGACTATTTGTTGTTTTTTAAGTTTATCCTGTACAGACTAACTCAGCTACCCCTTTCTAGATTTTTATTTCTGTCACTCTTACAACACATGTAATGAAATGCACACAAACCAGCAGTCCATCTTAATTCCAAAATACTGTCTCTGTTAAAAGTCAGGTATTTAATATACATTTTTATAGAATCACTCACTCATCACTGTGGCAGTTGACTTCGCACAATGACTCCACAAAGTCAACTGCCATAAATTTGTGATATTTTGGAGGAAAAGATAAAAGATGAAGCTGCAATTTGCAAAGGAGCTTAACTACGTTAGGCACTCAACTCCCACTGACCTTCAGTAGAAGACGAGTGCTTAATTCCCCTTAAATTCCTTTGAAAATATCAGCCCTGATCTGTACAGTATTACAGCTATTCGAGGTACAATGTGCTTCCAGAAAATGTTAAAAAGCAGAATAGAAAAGTCTAACTCTCCCATTCCCTGTTTTAAAAAGCCAGACGTGCATAAGAATCATTTTAACACACTAGTTATGCTCTGAATTATTCTAGGTTAGCAGGACTAGTTTAAACATGATATAAACAGTTTTTCTGGCCAGCGTGGATGGGGAATAAGATTTAAAAATACAGTGTTCCAGGCTGTGGTTCTGCTACTATGTTCTAGTCTAGACAATATTTTAAATGGCTGTGTGCTATCTGCATTAGTTATACAAACTGTATTTACAATAGATTCTGCAGATTAATCTTCAGGTTAGATGGAGATTTATTGAGATACTGGAGTGGACAGTGTAGAATGATATTTGGCTGTCAGGCCAGCCAATATGTAAAATTAGATAAAGATGGCAAGATAAGCAAGGGTTAAATATCCTCTAAGAGGCAAAATGTTTTGACAGGGCTATCTTTTTAATTAAAGGGTTTAATGTGACTTGAATTTAGCCTGCAAAGCATGGGTTCTTCTACTGTTTGTGGAGGAAAGTACATTGGACCCACCCAAACACAAGAATATAAGCCTACAATTACTCAAATAAGGTTCTGTCAATAATTCAGCATATTTTAGAAACTGTGATCTTTACAGCTGAACAGAATGAAAAGCTAACACATATTTCATATAATATATAGGCTTATCATCCAAGTCACATTTGTTTAGATCCAACAATCACATTCCTAATTCTAATTAGAACACAGATGTGGCATTTTTAGACAATAGTACAAGGAATACAAGGCACAACTGCAACGATTAAAAAAGAAAAATTAAAACAAACAAACAGCCAGCTGGTTGTGTTTTTTACCATGGTAAAAAAAAAAGTTACTCAAACTGTTTTTTAAAAAAAGCTTCAGAACTCAAAGACTCCACATGAATGATAAAGGAGACACAGAGTAGGCTTCAATATGATGTTTCCTGAATGCTATATGAAAAAACTGAAGTCTAATAAAAATTTAACTATTTAAATATTCTACTAGATTTCATCAAACGGGGACGAAATGTACATGATTACAATGTTTCCACATACCCCTTTTTATTGGGTGTGGATGTATCTGCCACTATCCAGCCTATCAATATGAAAATATATTGATAGATTTCAAATAAGTAGTTTTCTCTACTGTCAAAAATACAATTTATGTAATTTTGAGGCTACACCAATTTCATTGCTCTTATTTAATGGATCACATGAAAGTAGGGACATCTGACATATAGAGTAGAATTCAATTTCTTGAAAAAAATAACTTGAAAACTTCAGAGAAAGTATTTCATACAAAATCATGATCTGATCATCTCTTAAGTTACAGAAAGAAAAATAGAAGTTACATGGAAAAGCAGCTGAGCCAAAGTCGTGATCTGCAACTCATAGCAGAAAATAGCAAAAGCACAAATAAAAAAGATCCCAAACTACTAAGAGAATGGGGAAGATTATATTGTAAATGTAGTCAGCCAACTGCACAAAAAACAAGGTTAAAAAGTTAGTTATTCAGAAAACATCTCTCAATTGTAGAATGTTCAAACTTGTTGTCACTTACCAAGGATTCAGGGTTAGAAATAAGTGTACCAAACATCAACTGGAAAAGCAGAGGGTAGGAAAGAGAAAAGAAAACAATCAAATTGCCCTAAAGTCACTGCATCCCAGATCTCTACTCACATTGAATCATTTCTGACCAATTGACCATTTTGACGAGCAGCGTTTTCACTCATGGAACGCTCTCTCTTCAATCTTCCCACTGAACGAACCTGCAAAGACAAAAAAATGGAAGGAGACAAAGAGAGGGAGAGAAAGTGTTTTTCATGATTGTCTCAAGAGTACAGGGCTAAAGGCTATTGACTGAATCTGCCCACAGACACATTCATTGCTTTCATTAGTATGAAAGTGAGTACAAAAGTGTATCTGGTGGCAGAATCTAGATTTGTTTATTTAGAACTGAGTTTCAAATACAGTGCAACAATCCTATTTATCCCAAATGAAACACTTTGAATAAATGGCATTTTAGACAGACAGGTTGGCAAGGTACTATCTTTTACTGGACCAACTTGTATTAGTGAGAACAACAAGCTTTCAAGTAAGCTCCCATGAGCTGGAAAAAAATTCTCTAATCTCCAAAGCCTCTCTCTCTCTCCTCACCAGATATTGATTCAATAGCAGATATTACCTCACCACCTTGTCTTTTCAACTTCTGTGGGTGAAACAAACAAACTTTTGAGCTAAACAGAGCTCTCTTCAGGCCTTGAAAAAGGTGTTCAGTGCTACTGCTAAATGTAAGGTGTTTCGCCTAAACTGTTAACAACACATATTCTAAAGGCAGGGTTTCTCAGCAATTGGTCAATACATCAATGCCTATCCCTAAGACCTCTCTAAGGGTATGTCTACACTTGCACCCTCTTTCAGTAGAGGGATGCAAATGAAGACATTCCAAATGAAATGGATTTAAATATCCCTCACTTCATTTGCATAATCACATTATGGCACTATTTCGAAATAAAACACACTGTGTAGATGCGTTATTTTGAGAGAAAAATCTTTCTCTCGAAATAAACCTCATTTTATGAGGAATAAGGGTTAACAGTTATTTTAAGAGAAGGACACAGCATGTTTTATTTCAAAATAGCACCATAACGCAATTACGCAAATGAAGTGCAGGATATTTAAATCCTGGCTTCATTTGCAATTTCGAATGTCTTCATTTGCATCCCTCTAATGAAAGAGGGTGCAAGTGTAGACATACCCTAACAGATTAGGAAATCACGAAGTCAGACCCTGGTATCAAAAAGGTTGAGAAACAGTGTTCCCATGGTCTATTCAAGATGGCATAGCCTGTTAACACCCTGGCAGCCACAAGACCAAAAAAAGGGGGGGAATTGTGGGTTACACATTGTAATTAGCCAGCATCTTTCTTAAGACCAGCATTTTTGTCTTATTTTCCTGTGTTAGCTCATTTGAAAGTGTAGCAATTGTCTGATTTCAGCCATGTAGCCATTGTTGGGCCTTTTAGTACACTGTGAAAGGCACATCACATGTTCTGATGAGCATGTGTAGGACCCATGCACTTTGAAAGGTGTATTGTGGTAGGTATTGGAATTTTAGATGGATGGTTAATAGAAACAATAATGGACACAATGGATGAGGAAGCAATCCATTATGTCCATTATTGTTTCTAATAACCATCCACACAATTATTAGTGGGCTTCTGTCCTTTCTAAACCTAAATCAGTAATTCCATATTTTACACATGCAATTTAATAAATGTTTAGCTACTTAGAAAATTGAGACACAGAACATATCTGTTAGGTCACCTAATCCATCTCTATGCCAGTGCTATCTTGTTCCCCAAGATATTTTTTACAACATTCTGCTTAATATTAATTATGTCAACAGGAGATACGGTTTTTCATGCAGATCTCTGATTCTTTTTTAATCCCACTAATCCTTTGCTCTTAATAATATCCTGTGGCAGTGAGGTCCATTGGTTAATTATATACTGCATACAAATAATCCCTTCATCAGTTTTAATTAGTTGTCTGTTTCATTTGTTGTCTCCTTATGCTAGCATTATAAAAAAGTATAAATAGGAACTCCTGATTTACCCCCTCTAAACAGCATTATTTTATATCTTTAGTTTATCATCTCTTATTTATTTAATCTAAAACATACAGTTCCAATTGCTTTTTAATATTCCTTGTATTGAAGTTTTGCATCTCTAATTAGTTTCATTGTCCTTTGCTGAATCCTTTCTATTTCTGCCATGTTCTCTGTGAGATGGAGTGACTGGAATTGAAATATTCAAGGAAATGACTTTAATAACCTTATGCCATTAGTCTTTTTGACCTGCTGTTAGATTTAGCAAATACTTTAATTGAACTAAGGACACTTAGCTTCCTGAATCTTTTACTTAATTAAGAACCCAATAATGTGTTTTCAACACACTTTGACATAAATACTCTGCACTGACTTAGACACCAAGGGTGCATCTACACAGCACCCTAAACTCGAAATAAGGTATACCATTTGTCCTCGTAAATTGCGCATCTTACTTTGACTGAATTTCGAAATTTGGCACATCTACACAGCACCAGATTTCAAAATAAGGTGCTATTTCAAGACATCCTTAACCCTTGTGGAACGAGGATCACAGGGATAATGAAATAGGTCTCGAAATAGCGGGTGCATTCAAAAGATGCAGAGTAGCTATTTTGGGATACTTCTGGAAGTAGCTGTGTAGATGCACCCCTAGAATTTTTCTGATGCAATTTAAATGTGGCCAAATTACAGCATAAGCATCTGGAAAATAGGGAATAAAATGAAAATACGGACAGCCATGGCTATAATATAGACACTTACCTATTAGAGATGATTAGAAAAATATTTTGCACTAAAGATTTTTTTTCACTGACTTTTTAGTTTTTTTGATAACCTGAAAAATGTCAGTGAACACAGAATTTTCTTGTTTAACATTCCCTTTAGTCAAAAAAAGGGATTTTATTTTTTAAACCAGTTCTAAAGATGGTATCTAAGGTCTATATTCCTTTTGACTGACAAATGGTTAGAAGATTACCTTATTACTAGTAAGATACACAGTACTTTATAAAACATTTTTATAGCTACCCTTTTATGGTAAAAAAAACCTGATCTGGATCACAATGTAGGATCATTCACCATCCCATTTTTCTTCAGTAAACTTTCACAACTAGGAAAGTGGAAAAAAAAATAAAAAAAATACTAGCCTCTTCACTCTGAGGTGTCTGTGGTGGGGGTCTTTCTAGATCCAGAAAATCTAGTGGTCGCTCACTAAGTGAGATCACCCGAGGAGGAGTTTTCAGTGACAGAGGCTTGAACGGGGCAGGCTGTATAAGGTCCAGATCTGATGGTCTAGAAAATGGAGTATCTTCATTATTACCTGCAACAACATAATTGAGATTAAAGTGTTTACTTGATATTGATTAAAGTAATGGGTGAAAAGTTAGTGAAAGTTCAAGACAACAAAGAAATCCCTCACAATTCTATGAATAGACCAAATGTTTGCAAGAATACTTATGGAAACATAACAAAAATATATTCTGTGCTCCAGAATAGCTTTACCATAGCCTGTTTCTTCTAGATTTAGCTATTATTCACCTATGTATCCCCACTGAGATAGTTCTATGAGTTTCTGACAACCACGATGAGTGCGTGTGGCTCCACATTCCACAACACCTGAAGTACATAACTTCACCATCACCTTTAAATCTACTGCATGATAATCATTGTTGTCAAGTCACTCAATTGCATCATTCGAACAACCCATATGTAAAACCCAATATTTAGACAGTCCAGATATTTGAAAGGTTTTCTTTGAAGCCTTGACAAATTATATAGACGACACAAGAGCAGGAGGGACTTTGATACATAATTTTAATGAGAAATTTTCTGGGAGTGGTGGCTAGGACTTAAGATAGCCATCATACACATAACAACTAACTTTAGAGAATATGACTAAATACATCTCTCTCACACACCATTTTTACTTATTACAGTAGACTTCCGATAATCCGGAACCTATGGGACCTAGGTGGTGCCAGATTATCAGATATGCCCGACTATCAGGAGGTACTATAAGGTGGTTATATATATACACAATGTATACATTATATACTGTATATAAAGTGTTCTTAACCCTTTTTATTGTACATACTGTATGCAGTATACTGTAATGTTTTAGTTTTTTAAAGCCTTTTTTACCCTTTTTGCTCAGTTCAGCTGCTGCTGCTGTTACCTTATGACTCATTTTTTGCTGAAGCTCACTCACTAGGCTCTGGTCATTTTGATGCCGGACTATCAGGAGTGCCGGACTACTGGATGCCGGACTATTGGGAGTTTTACTGTACAAGTCATGCTTTGATACTTACAGTTATTGTTCATTTTTTCCTGTACTGTATTCTCTGGATATACAATTCATGACCCTGCAAGTACCTGACTTCAGTGAGAGCACACGCTACTCTGCAGAATTAGGTCTTACCAAAGCTCTGTGTTCCCATATAAAGATGAATAGAAGTTCGCATGTCTGAGTATTTGTTGCATACCAACAACAAGCACAAGTTTTGAAAAAACAAACTGTAGCTCTTCTTAAACTTTATAATCATAATTTCAAAACAGATTATATACTAATAAACCTATTATCCATACATAGAGCCAACTCAGTAGCAAAGAGAAGATATGTCAATATTCCTAATAATCAGAATAATTTTTAATTAATTCTAATGTCCCAAGAAAAGTATATCCTCTGAATATGCTGCAACTTCTGTAGCTTATTCCTATCATATGAAAAGACAGAAGTCAGTTAGTAGCTGGGGATGGTTGAGCTTCTGTGGCATGAAATGTATGGGAGGTCAGACTAGATGATTATGATGGCTCCTTTTGACCTTAAAGTCTATGAGTAAAAACTAAATTTTGCTGGGGTCCATGGATAGTACACATAATTCAAACATGAAAGACATAGTAAGAGACTGGTACATGTAATTATTTAGCCTCTAGTCAATATATAGACAGAAATAAAAATTATTAAACAGTGCATGTTAAAACCCCTCCTTAAAAATCACCCAATGTCTATGATCAATAAAGGATTTTTCACATTTTAAGAAACTCTACTGGTCATAATTGATCAGCAGCTCGTATTTGAAGGACTGTATACTTTTCACAGGTCCTTGTTTTTTACTTTCCCCCCCAAAACATCATTACATTATTTTTAACTCCATCCGCCCCCAAGTTATGTTGGATATAGAGCAAGTCACAGAACTGCTACTTTTACACTAAAATGTGCACATACCTGCCACCACAATCCTCTCTGGAACTTGCATAGTTACACTGGCATTTGAAAGTCCTTCTTGAAAACCTTGCTCAAGGTCAGCATTTGGTGGAGCTACCTTTAATTTTTCTGGTACCCTCATGCGCTGGCTGATCCCTTCAGTGTACTCCATTTCATACTGAATTCGATTAATTTCTGCCATCTCAGCATCCGGGGATGGGAATGCTGCCCCACTCATTCTGAAGAAAGAAAACCAAAAAGCCATGAATTATTAACTGACAGCAAAACTAAACATTAGCTGGGTTTCTTGCTTGATGCACAGTAAAGTGGATACATTTCTCCAATAATTGGACAAGTTTCAGAGCCTCTTGATTGAGCATGCACAGTATTTAATGAGAATAACTGCAATCTAAATTCAAATAGCAAATTTCCCAGCTGCAAAGCACCACATTAATGCCCTATACATCACCCAAATCTCACACTGAGACCGTGAAGGTGGTTTGATGGCCCACTGGTGCCTGTAATTCCTTACCAATATTGGTAAGGTTTCCATGCTAGTCCCTACATATGATAGCACAGAAAGCTACACAGGATGAGTAAAACGTCAGGAGCACGATAAGTTGGTGAAAATCTAGTAATAACAGAAACCCAAGCAATGAGAACACAGAGGCTGTGGCTACTATTTCAGTCTCTAGGATGGAATGGTGACTACAGGCTGTGTGGCAGATAAAGGAAAGGGTCAGGGTCACACATTAGCCTCACAAAATAGCTTGGAGTTGGCAGAGGGGGTGGGGAATTCACTTATATAGAGTACAGTTTAACCAAGAAGGACATTTCTCACCAACAAGCTGTCAAATCAGTTTCAGCAATTTAGACATACTGAATCGATCAAATGGGAGTATTGTAAGAATGCTGGTCTATGTACAAGCCATTTTGTACAAACAAAAGTACAAGCTATTTTGTAAATTTACAAAATAATGTTACTAATATACATCTGATGATATAAAGGCAGTCCCCGAGTTACGCGGATCCGACTTATGTCGGATCCGCAGTTACGAATGGGGCTTTTCTCGCCCCGGAGGACGGGAGTGGCGGGACGCCCAGATGCCCCCGAGGACGGGGGCGGCAGACCGCAGCGCGAGAAAAGCTGCTCCCCGTCTCCCTGGTCTGCAGAGAGACGGGGAGCAAAGCCTTGGAGCACGCCCGCAGCGGGACAGCCCGGGCGCGCTTGAGCTGTCCCCCTGCGGGTGTGCTCCGCGGCTTTGCTCCCCGTCTCCAGACCAGCAGACCAGGGAGATGGGAAGCAAAGCCTCGGAGCACGCCCGCAGGGGGACAGCCCAGGTGCGCTTGGGCTGTCCCGCTGCGGGCGTGCTCCGCGGCGCTGCTC